CCCCCCCCGGTATTTTCTTTCCGTGTCCTCCAGGACAATCCAATGTGTTTCCAAATGAAGTGCAAAGAAACCTGCCTCCATTTTCCCCCTCATTGCCAACGGCAGGTTAGTTGACTCCGGCATCAAAGAACTTAGCCGAGGGAGGAGAACTATAATTCTGTGGCTTCTGGCAGAATGAAGTTTGTCCTTCCTCGTCCTCCATATTAAGTTCTTTCTTTCCTACTCGCCACGATCAACTTGTGTCTCTGACTTTTTCCGAGAAGGTGCTCATTTCTGCCTAGCAAACATGAGTGGTTCTGTTGCTTGCCATCATTGGTGACAAATATACTCCTTCACTTCTCGGGCCCCTGAGAGCTGGAGGATGGATGGGCGTGGAGGAAGAGCTGGGACCAGGAATTCAAGGGAAGGATTCTTGCTATTGGTCTTTTATTCAAGTTGATCACTGGGGAATCGTATTTTAAACTCCAAAAGACTTCATGGACATTTCCAGAATTTCTCCAGAGACACGGATCAATAGATCAGAATAATCAAGAAAAGCCAACAAGTTTGCTAAACGCCACTTGAGTGTTTTACTTGAGTAGGCAAAAGGCGAATGGAATTATCCCAATCTCCTAGAGTAAGGAAGAACTGGGCTCTCTGGGCGGGAGGGGGGGGGGCACCTCCAATTTGCAGCTGGAAACAAAAGGGGGGGTGACATTTTAATTCCAGTCTCCAGGCCTGGACCCAGGGACCTGAGTGGCACTTGTTCGTTACATGGTTTAGTTAATGAGCGGCTTCCCCATAGCAATGAGTAATCAATGCCCTGTCCGTTCAAAACAATGCACTCTATGTGAGGGCGCAGGGCCTGCTGATTTTGCAGGCGGTTTCTCTCTTCACTTTCAGCTAAAGCTCACTGAAAATGAAGCCAGCCTGATTGCTCTGAGGGCATCTTCGGCCCCAGTGATAGTTAAGTATTAGCCTGGGAACCCTGAGCCTACTTCTGCCAGCCAACCAGAGATATCTGCCGTGGTGGGTGTGGAATCCTGCATGAGAATAAAATTTCAAAATCGTTCATGTGAAGCCTACCTCCATTTTAATAAATGAATCTCACACGAGGTAGGTATGAGTAGTGAGTGAACTTTGAGTTCCCAGGAACATATTCCAAAATGGCTCTTTTGCGGTGTGTTGATGGTAAGGTGCAGAGCAGGGGTTCCTGTTGGGATGCACCGCCCCTTCTGCGGTCTTTTCTGCCCCGACAGCTCCCTTGGAGCTCTGCGCGGCGTTTTCACAGAACTGTCTTCGGCTTCATGTGCTCATCTTGCCTTTCACACTCGTCCTCTGCTCTCCACTCCATCTCTTCCTCAGTTCCCCTTTGTTCCTCTCAGCCGCCCTCCAGGCCCTTTTCTTCTCCGGTTTGGCAGCCACTTAAGCATTCCTGGGTACTTCTAGGATAGGGGGGCCCCTGAAGCTGCCCAAGAGAAACAAACCGAGCCCCCCAGCCCCGCCCCAGAGAGTGTACAAATCCGAGCTGGAACAAAGTGGTCCTTTAACTCACATTCAAAAGAATTCTCCTCAGCCCACGCTGCGTGTGCTGTATTGTTAACTTGTATCAAAGGGGTTCCTATCTCAGGAATCACGGGGAACGTTCAAACATGATTGATGGCCAGTCAAAAGCACATCCTTGGCGCGATAAGCCGCCGCCGAGAGGGAATGTGCTGAGCCGGTTCAGGATCGGCCTGCCTGTGCCTTTCAAATTCCTTTCATCACAATGGCGACGTAAGCTCTGCAGGGTGAGAACAAGCCCGGACTTTCCGTGGAATTTTCCTAACTGCTGATATGTAATCCATACAGCCAGAGGTAGCAGGCAGAGGATAAAAAGCTTTAAAGAAAATGGAGACACAAGGACTGATTTTTTTTAAAGCAACTTGGAAAGAAAAAAGCGCGGGGGGGGGGGGGGGGATGAGAACAGCAAGGTTTATGTTAACCCATTGGGAGGGCACTGGAATCTCTTTGATGAAAGACTGAGATTGCTTTAGTGAAGCAAAAAGTGAGTGTGGTGACCAGGCATCAGGGTGACTGGGTCACTCACCCAAATTCTGCATGCTACCAAATTGTTAAAATGCTGCACTAGATTTTCCTCCTGAAAGGGAGTATAATGAGTAGAACCTCTCTCTCTCAATCTCTCTCTCTCTCTCTCTCTCTCTCTCTCTCTCTCTCTCTCTCTCTCTCT